TGGTTCTGCAGCAGTTCATTGAAGGGCTGCCCAGGGAAATGGCACGATGGGTCTGCTCCCATCGGTCAGCAAGCTTGGAAGCTGCGGTCACACTTCCACTCAGACAGAGCCTCTGTCTGAGTGCTTGCATGAGCTGTGGTCTGGTAGCTGGCTGGCTGTGGCTCTCTGCTCCCTTGGTCTGCGCAGCCATACAGGTTACCTGAACATAAAACACACCTGAACATAAAAATGGGGATAATAGAAGAGTCACACACTACGTGGTGTAGCCCCATAGTTCTTGTGGTGAAAAAAGATGGGTCTGTATTGTACTGCAAGTGAATGAAGTGTCATGATGTGATGCCTACCCCATGCCCCAGGACAACGAGGCTCTGGACCAGTCAGGCACAGCTGAATTTTTCATGCCACTGGATTTAACCAAGGGCTACTGGCAAATTCCCTTGTCTGCAGAGTCCAAGAAAAAAATGTCCTTCTCCACTCCGTAAGGATTGTACCAATTTGTAACACTTCCGTTTGACTTGTTCAGTGCCACAGCCACCTTCCAGTGCCTCATAGACCAGGTGTAGCGTCCACACGCTTCATATCCTGCTGCCTACCTGGAAGATGTTATCATCCATAGTCATGCTTGTGCATGTGCAATGGGTGGCTGGGATCCTGGAGTCCCTGAGGCAGCTGGGCTCACATCCAACCTGAAGAAGTGTGCAGTTGAACAGAGGGAGGTCCAGTATTTGGGGTACCACTTTGGGGGCGGACAGGTGCACCCAAAGATGGAGAAAACAGCATCCATCACAGCCTGCCCGTGTCCAAAGACCAAGAAGGAGGTGAGGCGGTTCTTGGGGCTGGTCGTGTACTACCACAGGTTCATGCCCGGAAGGGTGAACCAGATCTGGTCCAGTGGATGGAGTGGTGTCAGGCGGCATTTGTGTAGGTGAAGAAGCTCTTCTGTGGGGAGGTCCCCACACCTAACTTTTTTCCTCCCTTTTTGTCCTGCAAACAGACACCTCGAATGGAGGGCTGGCCATTTTGTCCCTGCAGGTAAGGGGGGTAAAGTGACCGATCTTGTACATCAGCCAGAAGCTGACAGAGTGAGAAGGAGCTGGTGACAGGAGAGTGGAGTCAGCTGGAAAGTGTTTACCCCGAAACACTGTGGAAGCGTAACAAACAAAAGAAACTGTGGGATTATAATATTATTTTATGCCATGTTATACCCCTAATTAAAGATTGTGAATTATTATGTAGTTTTAGTTTGCATTATTCTCCTGAATTAGAAGAAGGTGATAACTATTGCATTTGTTAAACTGATTTGCATTACATTAGACTGCTGATTTATTGTGAATGAATGATATTGTTTTATGATGCATTATACTGCTGAGTTATAAGAAATACTGTTCGCAGAAAGTCATCGCCTTATTTGTCTGATTAGAAGAGAACAGAACATACTGAAGTTTTCTGCCCCATCTCAGCAGGAGCAGATAAACAGGGAGCCAAGGTCGTAGCTTAGGCGCTGTGTGAGAGAAAGAATGTGAATGTTTAGGCTTTTATGATTAGGTGGGGGCCACTAGAGGCTATAAGAGTTTGATCAATGCTCCACCATTTTGAGATCTGATGCTGTCTGCGTACAGTGTCCATCTCCCACGCGTGTGATCATTAAAATCATCGTTTGACTCAACCCGGCCGGACCAGTGTTGTTATTTTGGTTTTTCCTCTTGTATCCATCCCCAATATTTGAATCCGTAACAAAACCCATAGTAAGAATACTGTGTGGTCTGAGTTGTGTGTAGGCATCACAGTTGGCTTTAATTATTTTAATTTCAATAAAAGTATTTTTTTTTACATCTGCAAATTGGAGAGTGACATCGTTCTGGACACCTTACAAAGTAAGGCACACATTAGCTTGAAATGGCTAATGTGGCCTGAAAACCGATTGTCTTCACAATCACTTTGTGGTTTCCATTATAAAGTATAGTCATGTATGAGCTTCTAAAGTGACTCTGTACTTGTGTATAGTTTATTGCTGTCAAGCATGAACTTACATATAGCCGCTGCTGCTAGACACTTGGTGACAATTAGAGGTGGAGAGCAGCCAGGGTAGAAAGGAGTAGAGGCATATTCTGCAAAGCTCAGTGTGATGATAGCAAAGGATGAAGGCTTTAACACCATAATAGTTGTCCAGGAGTAAAGGTAGGCAACAATAGAGCCAAAAGCCTCCATGAAATAGGGGTACTCGCCGCCTGATTTGGTGATCATGGTTCCAAGTTCAGCATAACACAGTGCTCCTATGCAGCCACACACAAAAACACAGAAAGGAAAGTTGTAAAACAACATATAAGAAGGGACTTTCAAAACTTTGTATGAGTTCATGCATTCAAAGCAGTGGTAAGAAACCTTGCATGTCTGTGACACTCATATATGCTTGGCACACTCAATCGCTGTCATTATATCTCCCTTGCTTCTTATGCTCTCATTTTCAATGCTCTTCACCTCTTATTTTAGTTTTAATAAGATCAAAAGAAATGGTTTCAAATTTGGTTTTTTTTCTAAATTTTTGCATTACATTGCAGGTGCTTGTGCTTCCAGAAATATATGTAATATATGATATATAGATAGATATAGATATATATCTATATAGATATATAGATATATAGACACACACACACACACACACTTCACCAGTGTGCCACCCAATTTCTGGGCTTTCAAGTTAGGTTGACCAGAAAGTATATCTTCAGATCCATATAATTAGATTCAGGAAATCCAGATTAGATGGAACCCATTTTATATAAAACTCTGTCAAACTACAATAACCAAAATCTAAATACAACATAACTGAAATACAAACTAAAGCCATACTAAATAGCGTGTGCTAGTATAAACAGTACAAAACAAAAATTTAACTGACTTAGATCAGACATCTTTTGTTATTTTTTCCCCATTTAATTGTTTTCTCACATCAAACAGTTCACAGTGTCTGAGTGATAAAACAACGATGTTCTTTACGCTTTTCGGGAACATCTCCTTCTCCTCCTATCTGTGAGCTTAATTAATCTGAAGACTAATGTGCACTAAAAATCCTCACAATAACGATTTTGACTTCAACAGCCAGTAAAAACATCTTCCACAATGAAAAATTATATTCCTGGCAGAAAACAAAAGGTGATACTGTGTGAGCTTGTTCCTATTCTGACCATCGTTATTTGTCTACATGACTTGAAAAGAATATTAGATTCCTGATATAGCAACAGAACTGGTTGCTGAATACAATGAAATATGAGTTAAAATGTTGGTCTCACCAAGAGTAGATAACACGCCGCAAGCAGTCCAGATTAGGAGGCAAGGTCCCACAGCTCCCGAGTACAGCAAAACAGACTTTGGGGAAATGAAAATGCCTGAGCCAATCATAGTCCCCACAATGAGACAAATGCCACTCAGCAGACCAACCTAAGCAAGCACATGGAAAATAAAAAATATTAATGTGTTTTTTCAGTTATTTAATGTCAGTAACTGTTTTCAGGAAACTATCATTCCCATGTGTTTTATAACATATAATTATATTATAAAAATTTTTTTTTTTTTAGCAACACCGGTTTAATGCGTGGCTGTGCTTCAGTTCTTGGGATCTGAAACAATAGTGGAAATAGTTGATGCACCATTTCCGTGTCATATTTTGATTTTAAGTTGGTTGACAGCAGCAGTTAAACTCAAGAACTGGTTGAATCAGATATCATTACATTGCCACGTTGAGTGAGGCAGAGTAAGCTGCTGAAGACTAAATTAAAGATGAAGAAGTCCCTTATCATTAAAGGCAAAATTCTCACATCTCACAACATGTGAAAACAAACAGCAATGCCACTTTTATAGGTAATTTCATTTTTTAGTCACTATAGATAGATCAGGCAAGAGATAAGGGTAATACACTAAACTTGTACTTTGTCTAAATCACTGCAAAAGTGTTCCAGATCTTTCTGTGGATCTCATACAGCCTTACCCAGTCATGAAAAAAACCCCAGAGAGGCTTGTCATCTCTATACTTGTTTAGAAATTTCCCAAGTATCCTTGAGAGGAGCAAAGAGCTGGTTTAATGTTCCTCAACCAGAGTGAAACCACATTTTTTATTCTGAATCTGAGGTCCAACAAAGGGGCAGACTCTTCTCTTTTGTACCCTTGCATGCATCTTGTAAGGGAGGGTACAGAGTATGGTCCCGTCTTCATAAAAAGGATGACCACCACTTTAGTTTGCACATTCAAAGACACCACCTTGACAACAATCTTTCAGAGGCATGTCAGCACACACCCTGATATCCCTTTGTTGGTGTTGATCTGATATCATCATAATAATTTTGGAGGAGGATCCAAAGATCAACACAACAACCAACAACCTCTGAGTTTTCAGTTAGTATTTTCCAAGAATTTGGCTAATCCTGTTACATTTTCACAAGTAAACCAGCATGAGTAATGTAAACTGGCTAAAGGCAAACCTAACTTGATAGTATATTTATTATATTGTATTGATTAATAAAGAAATACAGAAAAGACACATCCTGGGGTTATTGAATCCAGGTCACTGACCAGTGTCCGTGGCACCAAAGAGATAATTAACTAGTTCAGCTTACATTCCACTAACAGTAAGAACACAGGAGGAATGTCACACAATCAATATGAAAAAATAAAATAAAAATTACACACTCTTTCAATTCTAATTGTTTTTTTTTATCAAAACATAATAGGAAAAAAATGGTTTCACAAAACATTATACTTTTTCATTTATTTAACAAAAATTAAGCCAAAATCCAAAAAGCAGTATATAAAAATAATAATAATAGAAAACTAAGTATACCTCATTCAGTGAGAATTGAGTACCAGCCAACTGCCAATGATCAAATACACTTTTACACAATTAACTGATCATCAGCAAGTATGACCACCTCTAAGAGCAGAAACATTGTCAAGTTGTGGGTCTGAAGCATTCAAGTGTCTGATAACACAATGCTGTAAAGGAAAGACATTAGTAAACATGTTAAAGAATCAATTATTACTACCAATAAATCTGAGGTTTCAAGACACTTCCCAATGTTTTCAAGAGTGAATATTCCAGAAAATTCACCCTAAGGTGAAAAAAGACCCCCCCAAAAAACAAGAGCTGCGTCTCAGAATCCACAGGCCTCGGCTAGCATGTTAAATGTTGCGGATCATGACAGTGCGCTTTGAAAAAGACTATACAAATATGGTTTGTGTAGAAGGGTTGGAAGGACAAAGTGTCATGGTCCTGGGTCGTGTGACCCTGTGTTGAGTTTTATGTATCTTTTGTATTCATTTATGCTTTAGCTTAGTTCGTCTAGTTAATTTCTAGGGTGCTGTTTAGCCCTTTGTTTCTTAGTTGTTTATGTCATCTC